GAAATAGCGTGTTTCCATTAGGGCGCCCAGAGTTTGATTTGCGTGAATTACACGTTGAAAATGTGTCAACTTAGAGGTCAATGGGAATTCATGTTTAAACAACGCTCTACGACGGGTTGAACATTGATACAGGCACGACACAATGCAAACCAAAGCGAAGAGCATCGGAATCAGGCTAATAGCAAACTGGAATTTCAAATCTATTACAGGTCAAGCCCAATGGCTTTGGGCGCGCACTTGCTTCTTAGGGCGTACGGGACGTAGCCTCGGCCGACGTGTTTCCAGGGGACGTGGCTGCTGGTGCTGGAGATGCCGCAGACTCGCCCTGAGTCGGAGCCGGTGCCGGAGATGCCGCAGCCTCAGCTTGAGCCGAGGCCGGTGCTGGAGATGCCGCAGCTTCGGCTTGTGTCGGGACCGGTGCCGGGTCAGAAGCAGGGGGAGGGACCCACGGATTCTCCGGCTTCCGGCCGTACACCATGTGGCTGTGTTGTTTGGTGAGCTTCAATCGCAACCATGTTTTACGTCTCAAGATTGCACTTACTAATTGAAATACGGCAGCGACTTCGAGCCCCCCAGAGCTATACGCATCTCCGCAACGAGGACCATAATCTCCTCGTACGTCCATCCCAGGATCTCACCAATCGGCTGGAGCGCCCATCCATCAAGTGACTGGTCCATGAAGAGGCCAGCGTAGTGCCCAACCTGCTTCAGAAATGGGTCCTTGGCCCAGCCTCCAATGGGCACCTTCCACTTCTTATGCACAATATCAACAAAGCCAGCTTCCTTCATACACTTTACCATCATGATGTCCTCGTTCGGGCCTTTGTACTGAGCCTGGCGGAAGCTGCGGCCTATGATGTCACCCGCATCCCAAAAGAGACCTGCCCACTTCTTGAAAATATGGTTCGGGTCATTCTCGACTTCGGGGTTCTCAGAGCCAGCCAAGATGTCAAACTCCATGCTCTCGAACCAGCCGCCAGGCTTCAAGTGGGCGAATGCTTGGTCATAGAAGCGCTGCCAGTTGTCGATGCCGCCGTACAAATTGCGAGCGTGGATCGCATCGAAGTGGTCCCTCTTGAAGGTCCAATCAAGCTGGGCGTCGTCAATCTGGAAGATGCAGTTCGGCGGAACCCAGCTGGGCTGCACGGCTGAAATGTCCGTCCCAATGACCTCAATAGCCGGGAATTCGTCCGCAAGGTCACTGCGCGCGTTAGATAGGTCCTTGATGACGTGCAGAATTGGACTCATTGACTTACAGGGCCCAGAGACCCGATCCAGTGCCTACGTCGAGAACTTTCTATGAAAATAAGTCAACCGTCGGTTCGATCCGCACTTTCGAGTTCACTGACCAGGTCGCCTTTCTCCACCGGAACTGGAGCATAGAAGAGTCTGTCATCCATAAGCATCAAGGTGAAGTGATGCCTATCCAATCATTAGCCGCGCAAAGCAATCTGGGTCGTGACGAATTTAGCATACACCACGTCGAAGGTCTCCAGCTGCTTATCATCATTCGGCGCCCTAGCATGAATGGTCAGCACAGCGCACAACTTCTCAGACATCTTGCGGATGCTGAAGCAGTCTCGCAAGAGGTAGAAGTCCACTCACCAGTAGTCAATGGTGTTGGATGTCTGATAGGTTCTGCCCTTGATAGTGCGAAACTCGCGTACACTGGAGCTCAAAGAGGCCGTAGACTCTCGAAGGCTATGTGGATATCAATTAGTTCCAAACTCGCTTCCGATTTGGAGCTTCGAGTTGACTCGCCTGTTCCTCCCATCATCGTCGAGTGAGCCCGCTTCGGACTCAAGGTCAGCAATGACCTGAGGATCCTATGATTCGGCACCTCGCGTCAGCGAATCTGAGACTGCCAATCTGCAGCAAGCACAGTGATGGTGGCGCACTCACGGCCTGGATCTCGGGGACTTCTACGGGTTGCTGCGACATCTTGTACGATAGTCGGAACAATTGAATAGCTTCAAAGCTCAAGTCGCACGGGCGAATAGTCGCTCTTCAAAAAGACAACTGAGAAGTGAGAGGTTCAGAGAAAACAAAAGTTGCCACGAACGCCATTGAAGAAAGAGGGGTAGGGGAAGCGACAACCAGGCACACCTGTTGGTGTTGGTGGAGCTTGACGGCGGAGCGACATGGGCTGTTGGCCCGGTGTTCAACTGTTGCAGGGCCTTTCTGTAGCGTGATCATACCCATGTTGTTGTGCAAGAGGGCCAATCAACACTTCGCGGACACAGCATGCCTGCAGATCCGACTGCAGCCAAGGGCGATGCGTTTTCCTGATGCAGTTCCCGAGGCATCGCAGAAATGCGTGATAAGAGGGGCACTCCACGGGTGCAACCACGTGTATGTCGGCAAAGCCGTGATGGCCGGCAGTCCGAGAGTCCCGAAGCGTGAAACGTTCAGCCAAACACCAGAATTGTTGCCAAACAGCAATCGGTATGAAAAAGCAGTCTCCTGAGTATTTCATTCATGATTGTAAGAGCTGACAAGCATTTGAGCGAAAGAGGTGGGGAGCAACCCCGGTCGGCATACTCGTAGCAGAGCCTCTTGACGGGATTGAGAGGCGAAAGACATGAAGTGCACTATTTACAGCCGCTTCCCGAAGATATGAATCTACATGAACGTCTCCAATACCTTATACGGGATTCAATTGATCATGTTCCCCCCCCAGCAAAGCTTTTGTTGTGTTCCCACACCACCATCCTCGTTAACATCGTTTCTCCAATCAATCAGCTCAGCCTTGCTCGTGTCACTGCGAAAGACAAAGATTCTGCTCAAACCCTCTTGCTTGAGAACTCGATGCTCATAGTTTACGTGACCGCATGCTACGATGGGCATCGTTCTTAGACAACCTTTGTAAACAAAGATGGCTCGGTTCAATACTATGGTCTCTGCCGAGTGCAAGAACGACGGTGCCAATCAAAATGTAGCCCCAAAAACACAAACGTCGCTGTGTGTTTGATAATCGGTAGAGTATCGATCGTAATCAAACTCAACGAGCGGTACTGGGTAGGTGCCATGCCGTTTTCACCACTACCCAGTTACTGACGAACGCAGCAAAGAACAATTTTGGAGGTATCCAGGCACTAACATCTCGATCGTTCCTGGACGTTTACACTTAATTAATCTGATTTTACCAACGGATGTTCTGGCCCGGTCCATAGAGAAGCTACGGCCGGACGCCACGACGCCATCCCACACACCACGGATTGATAGACCACACGTTGGTGAAGGCGGTGCACATAGAGCACGCGTGGAGGTCGGACTTGCCGTGGCTTTTCTTTCTTACCTTTTCAAGCTTATTTTGAATATTCGCGTAGAATGGACGACTACTCCACCATACTCTTCGGTATATGCCATTGCATTTACGGCTTAATCCCATATTCATGGATCCCGAACTTCATTTCCTACTACGACTGCAGCAATACTCAAGGAGCAGAAGTGCTTCGAGGATCATAATTTCAGGCTGCAGCAATGGAGCTCATTGGCGCATTTCTTCCCTACTCTTCTTTGGGATCACCAATGGACTGGCCGACAAAAATGGGTTACAAATCCTTCTGGCTTGCATTAGAATTATCATTGATCTCGGATCCTTCCGATCAGTCCCTGGACAGGCTCGGGAATGCTTCTGAATCAACCTGTCTCACTCAATCATCGTGAATCTAGATGCGAACCTCCTAGATGCGAACCTCTCGAAATGAATCGACCCGATACCGTCGGTGAAAGGGGGACGGCCGGTCGTCAGGCCGGAAGGTGGACGCGATCGTCAAATCTGGTAGCGATTAGAAAGACGGGAGCACCCGGGCAACCGGAGATAGAGAAGATGACTCACGCAGGTAACAAGCCTGCCGGAAGTTTCCGTATGAATCTCGAATCAAAGATTCAAGTTCCATGCCTGGAAGGGTGTCCACCTCTCCGAAAAGGAAGTCACTGGCCAGGCCCCTATCGTTCGCCGAATTGAGAATGGGAGACTCTAGAAGGCGGAGAGCAATAGCATTGTGTATGTAAGAGAGATGTCTTTACTCCTCAAAAAGAATTACAACAAGAATCCAAGACACCTATATCATTGTTGCCGGTTCGTGAAGCAACATTCCTCAACTCTCCCTGTGTAGTCAGTCGGCCCGCGATCTGGATCACTTCCGGCCCGAGCACGATTCAAGATGACGGGCAAAATTCTACAAGAAGAGTGACGCAAAAGCTTTAGTCTGACGTCGCTTGAATTCCACAATACACTAGTTTTTACCGCCATGTAGTCGGTGATCGCGATACCCGAGCAGGCTTCTCGTGACAGTTCGGACCGCAAACAGACGATCCTTCCCCGACGCAGTTCAACGTCCACTTAGCCCGATGCAACAAGTCTTCATCATCTTGACCCTCCGATCAACGAGTTCCTTTCCTCGCAGAGCTCTAGACCACCTCTCCGTAATCAGCTGCTCTTGCGAATTAGTCCTAGCGCCTGTCACTTCACCCCCCGCAAAATAAGCACCGCCTTTGACTACCGGCCGGATGCAGCCAGACCGTAGCTCCCGGATTCGGAGCTGTCGACTGCGGATCAAGCCCGCCTCTTGCGTAGCGCCCGTAAGTGCGAGCAATTAACCTTACGTCCAACGTAGGCTGATGGCCGTTCTAGCCCTGTGGCTCACTTTGGACCCTCGCGGATTGGCAGGAGCCTGGATTGCCTAGATGTGATTGAGTGAGACACCGCAGAGGGCAAGCGATGTCTCGGAAAGGCTTGTTGCTCGAGGTCCGCGGACGATTAGGGGTCGTCGGGACGAGAAGCTGGCCGGCTTGGGGTTGATCGGCGCCTGCATACGATGATAAATACGGTCCTTCTGTCCCTTCTTTGCAAAGAGAGAGATCACCCACTCGATCAACTCCAGTCAACAGCCGGTTGGACAGATTTTCAACGCTCAGCTCCAGATCCTCTCCATTACCGTTTCTCCAGAAACGAACAACATCATCGCCATCTCTTGCATCTACTCTCAGACAAAATGCATTTGTTCAACGTCATTACCTCTTGTGCTGTACTCTCCACAGCTTCAGCGGCTGTCATCCCTCGGATACTGACGGAATTCGAGCCTAAAGGGGGAATGGGCACTTTGCCCCAGATCATTCCAACCGCCGACACCATCATCACGGACTTGACCGCCCTTGACAAGGCCATCACAAATCTCACCGAAGTCCTTCAAAGCCCCTCCGGTGGCATCATCAAAGCAATCTCCGACATCTCCTCTGTCATCTCCCACACCATCTCTATCCAGTCCGCCAACCGCCAGGCCATGTTGGACGTGCAGGAGCTTGACACCGTATTCTCCGCCTCAGATTGTTCGTCCATTATCAACAAGCTCAAGAACGATGTGTACCCCCACGCCCAAACGGCTCTTAACTATCTTGGACAGGCCAAATCCGAAGGCCTTCTCAACGCTCTGGCCTCGAAATTCGCCGTCCTGCCATACCTCAATGTTCTTAGTAGCGAATACGACGGCTTCGGCTCTGGTCTTCTCAAGTACATCGACGCGGGCTCCCAGGCTGAGGCCAAGAGCGTCCTGGACAATATCAAGAATCTCTTGGCCAGCACCATCTCGACCTACTCCGGCTGATTCTCCCTGCGGAAAACAGACTGGTGATGGGAGGGACTTTCTCGAGCAAAAGCTGCGTGTATCTTAGGGAGCTGATGATGGATCAGGCTTAGCCGAAGAAAATGGTATTTTTCTTTTGTGATGACGGTTTATGAATCTTTGCATTAGGCATTAGCGTTGATGTTAGCATAATACCTACCTAATAAGCGTTTCCAATCATCCCTTGCAATAACGTCTCGTAGGCGATGCGTTCTTAGCGCCGCTTGTGCATTACAACCGGTGATCCCGACCGAATTACAAGGTCTAGATTTGTGTGAGACAGTTTTCAGCTGGGCTTGGAAGGCTTGAGGTGCGCCTCGGTGGAAAGTTTTCGCAACCGGTACGTGGCCGCCTCAAGTGGCCATTTCCGGCGGCAGTCACAACAAAATGAAGATTAGCCCTTCATCCAATCTCAAACAGTAGAAAATGTAAATGACAGTCGGATGTAATGGGTTTTCCATTGCAGAGGACGTTCCATTTTGTCAGCAAATTAAGTCGATTGAAGACTTGCCGGAGATTTGAGCATGGCAGCTAGGCAAGGTCATGCCACAGAAGCATGACCAGCATCACATGAACACAATCTTTACGTATGCAATACGTGATCAGCTACGCCACATAGCGAGAATAACCTTTGTTCGATATTATACAGCAGTTTTAATGGCGGAATAGAAAGGCTTTGGTGGCACCGGCGGTTGTGCGACTATAGTTTGATAAAAAGGGTGGTACCTAGACAGCGCATGATCTCGATCTATCAATTTAAACTGTGGACTTCGGTTTGATTGATCGAGTGAAATTAAAGCCATACGTAGTTTGAGGTTATTAATGTTTGTGTTCATTAACAATTACTTAAACCCATTGGAAAGCTGTTACAGAATTATTGTCAACTTACTGATACAGAAACAAGACTATCCCTTACTTCGGCGGGTAGAACATGTTCCCAAAGCTGAACACGCCTCTGTAGCCAGTTCACGAGGCAATAAATCGTCTCTGGTTGATATGGCTTCATTAGAAGCCTGTGCGTGGCCACCGTCACCACTGGTGATCTACGTGACTCGTTGCAGAAGTCGGAGGCACCTGTATCATGGCCGTTCAGTAGACAAACATCGGCGAGAAAAGGAATTCTTACCGATGTAAGCAAATACTAGCCAAACGAAAGCACGCGGCGGCTTAAAATGGTGTCGTTACAGCTGAGGATGGCGTTCGGGTGATTGGCGCTCAACCACCTTTTGAGTTACTTCTTCATTTTATGATAGGCATGGCAGAAACACCTCATTCAAGATATGTTACGAAATGATTTGAAAGAGCTTTGAGTGAAGTTCATGTTGTCACGATTCATCGCTCAACTGCCGGTCCACATGACTCAACACAGCCACCAAGTCTCTTCATATTGAGACCTGTCAATTCGTACCACCACCTTCTTGTTGAGGGAGATGAACCCTCTCACTCTTCTGCAATAGCGGAGGCTAGATTTGAAGTCATACATATAGCTATGCCATATTCACGAACGTTTAGACTCAACTGACTAGGGATATGGCCAAAAGGACTCACCTGCAGCGGATGGGGCACGAAAACTCAGGTAACTCCAAGCGCGCAGCAAGGCATCATACCGCCCCATCCCATTTGCCCACATCCCGAATTGCCCTGCTGGGCTGAATTACTTCCACCGGACGTCGAGATTATGTCCACAAAAGGAAGAAGCTTGATTTAAGCCAACTTGCAATTACCGAATAACAAGGCCACCGACGCAATGACGATGGTGATGTATCACTCAGCAGCATCACGGTATTGACTAAGCCTGTGCGAGGCGCAGACTCGCCGACTCTCGGCATACACACATTGGATACACGTGAGTGATGCCAAGCACCGGCCACAGCAAATCAGCAGCGGCAGCAGGAGATGACATGACGGGACATCATGCCACCAGGCCGCGGCAACAACCTGACATCGCCTCGGGATAGTGATACTGTATGCGAGCAACAGCGACAGCAGCTTTTCTAGTTTGCCGTTGTGGTGAGACTAGGGCGGGTGGAACGTCGCAAGATCCGAAAGCGAAAACTCCAGGGACGAGTAAGTTGACCGCACATCTTTCGGTCCGCGAGATTGCCAAGAAATCCCATATCACCACACGTTATCGACTTTCATCAGGCTGAGGCGTGTTAAACAGACTGGTTACTCTCAGTTGGTCTCCCAGTTTTCTTAAGCTTAACAAAGTGAGCCACGCGATCTCGGCGGTGGCCCATCTGCGGTGATTAATATCACTCGTGCAAGGGGGGATTTTTAATTGTCGCCTGGTAGGATTTTGATCATCGGCAGGCTCAGCTATACGGATTAGAGTTGAAGCGGTGGCTGGGCGTACAAGGCACCTGAGCAATGCATAGTCCAATCCTTGACTTTATCTCTCTGGTGGAATTTGATGGTTCGGAACCTATCCGTGGGCAGGTCGCCCAGAATCATTGAGAGAGAGGAAAAAATCAATTGCCGGAGCGAGTGTCCGGCCGCCGCGCTCTGAGCTGTCGCGACATGTCTTGGCGCGCGGGGCGATAGTGTGATTTAGTTTTTGCGCTGCTGCAAAGAGAGGTTGCAGCAAACATCTGGCGGTGGACACAACGGTATTCTCTGTTTGGGTGTGTCCCGTCCGTTACACTTGACTGTACTCTGACCCGTTTCCCGCTTGACTGCTTCATTACAAAGAAGATGATCTTGCCCATGTCGCTCTGTGTGTCAAATCTAATGTGTCCTCTTTGTGAACCTGCTGCTCTACGGGATACATCGCTGGGGTTTCGTGACGGAGCCAGAAATCAACTCTGTCGTCATTCTGACAGGGGCCGTGGCTCCGAACAGACGGGGGAACATTTTTTGGTCAGTGGCTGCCTGTAGTGCGTGGGAGGCTGGAATGGAGGCGGGATGGAGGGGGGCACGGGCTCGCGGGAATTAGACGAAAGGAAACGGTCCATCATACTGTTCAGAAGCAGCGCCCGTTCAAAGGAGGACCGGATCCCCGATGGATGGATAGACCCAGCGCCGTTGGATCGGCAGGCGGCCCTGTGATGAGAAACGCCGCGACTTCGTGCCTGTGAGCTGCTGACAGGACCGGCCTCATTTGAACGTCCTCCGGGCCCGTGGAAGGGGATCCGGGGGTCCGAGTCAGGGGGAGGGCCAGGGGATTCTGGAGGTGACAAGACGGAATGACAAGACGGTGGACGAGAACGGGGATATCGGAGGAGGGGACACAGCCTGCCCCAAGCAACACTGCGAGAATAAAAGTCTCCAAAAGGCCAAGAGACCAAGACGCCAAGACGTTGGACGTGAAAAACGTGGAGAGAGGCGTTGGGAGACCGAAGAGCGAGCAGTATCTTGGCCCTGGGGGCTTTTGGGGAGGGGGAACTGGAGAGGGGAACGGAGTGCCCGAGGACGAGTGACTTCAAGCGCCTTGTAAAGCGGAGGCCTCTGGCGGAGAATGAGGAAGATCTTGCACGCTTCTTGGACATGCCAACCCCGCTTTTCTTTTTCATCGGTGGCTCTCCCATTGCTCTTGGCAGACAGTCAAGCTTGGCGGTAGAGTCACCGGAAGTCACTGCATCGGCGTGTGGACAAGGACGAGTGACTTGTGTGAGCTGTGAGCTGTATGCTTGGCTCGAGTTGAGGTGAGCGAGTTGTGTGAGTGGTGAGTGAGCGTTGCGTTGCACACTGCGACCCGCGTCCTGCATCTGCGTCCTGCGGCCTCAGTGTCCTGCGTCTGCACCTGGTCTCGTTCCATGTCAACAGACAGCCTACTGCTGGAAATGCGACTACTGCGGCAGGCTGCTCTTTCTGGGCTGGCCGGCTGGGTCCCTCACCTCCAAATCCGCATCGCCCGAGTCCTCCTGCTCATCCATTTCTCGCCTCTTCTGTTCAAGTCAGACGGTTCCCGTCACCGGGCTGGACGGGCTCCCAGCGAATGGGCATGGCTGGCTGGGGCGGCACAACGTCCGTTTTGTGGGTTGATAGGGTCCACCGATGCACACACGGAACGAGAATGAAGAGGAGAAAAACAGCAGCTTGCACCCGCGGAACGGGCCAGGGCACTCCGAGAGACGGCCGGGTAATAAAGACCGACCTTACAGCTTGTTCGTCAGACGAGGCACGAGGGATGATTGGGGTTGATGGGACATAACATGGAACATGGAGTCGACGAGGTGAAGGATGAATGATCGACTCGATATGTTGGTGACAATAGCGCAGGCGTCGGCGAATATCATCAGCCGGTTGATCGCTCCAGGATCACAATGCCTCCTCGCACATACGCTCCTGCAGACCGGGACAAAATATTGCCAAAATTTCGGTCGGATGTGATAATAGCCTGCTGCAAGAAACAAGGCCGCCACCAGACCCTCAATCGCATTGATGCCAACTCCGCTTGGCAGGCATGTCTTAAACGTTGGGTGAAGCCGCTCATGATGGGCACCACCCCCAACCTCTCTGGCGCCACACGCACACACACACTTTCAGGTGTATCTGGGTCTTTCTCTCGCTCTTCCCCCCACCGCCTTGGCGAGTGCTGCTCTGAGATTATCCCCGGGTGCATGTATGTGTGCATCGTGACATTGCCAAGCGGTGAACTGTAGCTGGCCCAGCGCTGCAATGTTTGTGTGTTGATGATCACCACACTGTCTCGGTTTTATTGCGAGTCGCACGAGCCTCAACCTGCGGGCGGCACATCAGTCTCGCGGGTTCATCAAGCGAGCATCTTCCTTTGACGAGGCACCGCCGTGAACACTTTGGCAAAGATGCAAAATGGAAAACCCGGGAACACCGTATCGGAAACGATGGAACAGTTGCGTCCCATTCTGAGAAACCCCCGAGGAGAGAATCGAAGCATTTTTCGAGGTCCACCGCCCGGCATGCACAGAACCGTCCAGGAACAGCTTGGAGCCGGCGGCAGTGCAGTGTAGCGTAGCGGTACGCGGGAACTCTGACAGGTCGGCCTGGAGCCCGACAACCCA